TAATAATAATAATAATAATAATAATAATGGATTGCATTTATATAGCGCTTGTATTAGTATTGATCAGCCAAGCTTGGTAACCCCGGAAAGAAACGGGCGTTTTGTAGATGGTTTTTTGTTTTTCTTTGACTTTGTCAGACAAATTAATCTGCAAGTAACTCATTACTTGCAGATTAATTTGTATGCTCTCTACAATTTTGAGTTAAATACAAGCATAGATAATACTTCAAAATACTTGGTCCTAATAAAAGTGTAAGATTAACTTTTTAAGGCTTAATTCTGACAGCACTCTTTGAGACTAGAGAGCGGTAGACGAGCTGTGAGTGAAGAGGTTTCCTGTAGTAGCTGAGAGAGATCACACGGTGCCTGCTGACTGCCTCGACGAGGTATGTTTTGTAGGCTCCATCTCTGTACAGAGCTGCTAATTTGTGGGCATTGTAGTCTTAACAGAGAGCACCATGCTCAGGTTGGATGGGTTATAATCAGCTGCAAACAGAAGGCTCAAACCTCAGAGGAACTAAAAGTGCAGACTGTGTAGCCGAAAACAAAAGCTCATGCAAACAAATGTACGCACATGGTTATGTGCGCTTGAAAGAGCCACATTAACACACATTGATTTTCTCCCAATGCACAAGCACTTAAAAACGACATTTCTGTATTGTAATGATTTCTATAAATAGAGCTAAAAAGTTGCCTGTGCGGTGAGTGAGATATGACTGCAGAATGGAAACTGTGATAACAATAAGGAGCCATTGTGTGTGAAGAGGCCTGGAACAATCTCAAGGACTGTAATAGAATAGGGCACTCCCTAAACCATCCTCAAACACATAAACACACTTCAAATACCTGCTTATATTGTTCTCGGTCTTTTCTATACAGCTACAATTACCTGAAATTAGGATTCACAGCTCATTCAGACACACTGTGTTTAGATGGGTAGTTTGACAGGTCATCCTCACAATGCATGAGTGAATCTCTAAAACATTTGCACAGACACTGATGCGTCCTGTTTGCTTCCTGTTTACTTCTGCCATTTCCTTATGGGGCTGAAAACGACCAGTGATGTTGGCGGATCTTCTTCATCTCTACTCAGCCCAGTTGTAATTGAAATGCACTCCCTCTGTTTAACCTCCCTCTGGGTAATTATTTGTAGACAGTGTATTTTAGCTGGAATCTTGTGTGATCTCTAATTAGTGTGTGAGATAGTAGTAAGAGAATAAAGTTCAAGTGTCCTGAAGCACTAAAATTCTGCTCAAGCACAAGCAGACGAGATGAGATTTAACTAGGAATCTTTAAGACGGCATCACCGTCCAAGTAAAATCAAAGCAGACTTGTGCGCAAACTACAAACACATCCTGTCATGACTTTCAAACACAACAGGGGACTGCAGACATGACTGAATCCCCCTGAACTGAATCATGGCTTAACCGTTCCAAATCTCATACCTGCTACTCAAATGTCGTCATGCTTCGACTTTGTTGTTATGATCTGGTTAATCCTGACTTCACGTGATTCAGTGTAGGGGTAACAGATAATACTTGGTCTGGAAATTCCTGAAGTGTTTTGCCTTGAAATGACTTGGATCGGGACAGATGTGGTGTAATGATTTATCGCCTTTAATTGAGGCTGGAGGGTTGATTATGTGATTCCTGGTGCTGTGCTTGGAGTATTCCTGGCAGGTCACCAGAGTGACTTATAGCTCTTAATTAATTTTTTTTTGTGCTGAACTTTTCATCACTGGCAAAATGACACATTCAGCAAGAATTAGAGCAATAACATTGACTCCTATTAGTTAAACAAGCCTCTCCTCCCTTCTATGTGAAAGTTATGGCTCTATAAAGTGCCTGACTAATGGTTTCTCATAACTGATACAGACGGGAGAACCCCTTCTGTCTTAACTCCAGTGGTGCCAAGCTGTGCCAAAAATATTCGTTTGGTTTTATGGTTCCAGATTTTGAGATCTCTGAAATATCTCCCACTCCCTTTGTACAAAAGACATGAATTTTTTTTCTTTGCTTTTGCAGAACTAGAAAATGAATGAAGGTTTAGTTAGTTTAGTTTTTTTTTTTTTTTTTACACAAAGGGACAAGTATGTTACACGAAATACAGTTGTGAAATGCAGGGCAACACTGTGGTGCTTTGGTTATCACTGTTGCCTCACAGCAAGAGGTTTTGTGGTTTGAACAACTGTGGCTTCCTCTTACAGTTCAAAGAAATGCTTCTTAGTTTGAAATCCAAGCTTGAAAACCAAGCTGCACCATTGGTTAAATGCTATTAATATCTGTTGAGTTTAGGTTCTCAAAACCTGCAAGTAAAGCATTCTGTTTGTGGCTACGTACTAGCAGACATGGATTAAAATAATAATTTATATATTATATGGATATAATTTAGGTCAATATAATCTTTAAAGATTGTCTGGGGGAATGCAGAGACACAGGCTTCCCTTGGCTCTACCAGTGAGATCTGCCAAGATAGTGAAGATAACACATCCTGCATATTTTTCTGTATGTATCATGTAGCTGGTTCATGACATCAGAGGGTTTCCAAGAAACTTCATTGCTCCCCTAAGACCAAGGATGCGTCGAGGCCAATATGGTCACAGCAAGTAAATCATAATGCAGCAACAGTGCCATTGATTGTTGGGACTTCTGCCCATTGCACGAACACAGATTTTATTTCTGTTGAATAAAGAACAAAGAAATGCATTTTGCTTTGCTAAGCTTGATGAAAGCCAGTAACTAATGCTGATGTACATTCATTTATTCAGGCTGTAATTTAAGCAGTGAACTGAAGGATCCCATTGATGTTGTGTCTGCCTGTGACAGCGGCGAGGATATGGCACATTATATTGTGTGATCCTATCAGTGGTTCCATAGTGTAGTGGTTTACACATTTCCCAAGTGAAAGATTCATGGTTTGATTCCAGGAGGAGACACAAATTCCTCGGGGGTTGCGTCAGGAAAGGCATCTGGCCAAAAATAAAATCTACCAAATCCAAAATGTGGAGCCACCCACTTTAGTGAATACTGAAAGTGGCTTTTGTTTGATTCTGTCAAATGTGGCATGCTGTAACAGAGTTTTGTACTGCTCTGCGCTAACACCTGCTTAGTGGCAAAACACAGTTTCTATCCCATTGCAGATAAAATCAACCAGCCAGATGTCTACCATGAGTAAAACAAGGACAGAATAAACTCTGCATTGTGATTCATCATGACTGTTCTAGCACACACTGGGAAGTTTGCCTTATTACACACTCATAACAAGCTGTTTGTGACTTTAAAGTAGCGCTTTGGGAGTAGGTTTTGGGTAAGGATGAATGTTTGATGACAGAGGGTACAAATTGGACACTGTTTGTCATCTGGAAAGCCTAAGGAGGAGCGTGATGATTCATAGTTGCTGGAGAATCATTTGTAGATGTTTCTTACACCCTGTCCTTGTTGTGTTGCTGACTTAAGTGTGTCTCTGTTCATTTAGGCTTGCTGTTCAGGCGGTATCATGACTAAAGGAAGCTGATTTTGGTGCGCTGTCGCCATTTGGGATGTCTGAAGCCAAACATTACCTCAAAGAGGAAGAAGGCAAAGAAGAGGTGAGAGAAGGGACAACATCTGCTCTGAGAGGATAAGATCAGCAGCCCATCTGGATCTGCGCAGGGAACCTAACAGACCTTTCTCTTTCTAAGGAAGGGAACTGAAACTCTCCAATAGCTTAAAGGGCTTCAAGAATTTTTTTTAAAGTTTTTCATCATTTTACCTTCTCTGAGCTAAAGCCATGTGCCATGTTATTGTAACATGCCGTTCCATGCTGTGGACCCTACTCAGCATTGTAGTGGCCTTTGCTGAGCTCATCGCATTCATGAGCCCGGATTGGTTGCTGGGATCGCCTCGGAATGACACCAGCAGGACCAGGGCAGGAGTGGACTCAGAGTACCGGCCATCTCTCGGCCTTTACAACCGCTGCCTTCGTATTGGGACCTCGCAGGTGAACTGTGGGCCCTATGCCACGACATTTGGAGAAGTGGCCAGCGGTTTCTGGCAGGCTGCCATGCTGTTTCTGGCAGCGGGGACATTAGTGCTTGGGTGTGTGGCCTTTATCTCCATCTTCAGCCTGTGTTTTCAGAGCATCCTGAAGAAGAGCATATTCAACATCTGTGGACTGCTTCAGGCTGTTGCAGGTAAATTGTTAATCTGTATGTATGTGTTTAGTATCTATGTTACAGAAAGTAATCATGTGCCCCCTCCCACCTTCATATATATGTAAACTATGCTCTGAGGACAGCTTCCACTAAATTGAAATGTTTTTTATTTTATGACATAAATTAATTATAGTATGAAAGGGCATATATAATAAAGTTACTGGAGTAAAACCAGTTACCAGTCAGA